GGCTTCTAGTATCACTTACCAACAACCTCACAAACCTGGGGAGTATATGAGCCGATGGAACACCCGACCTGTTGGTGGGTGTGTGATATAAAGTACGGCTGTGCAGAGGTCCCACAATGGCTCTCTTAAGCATTCAGTACATGGGGGGAGGGGACCTTGCAGGGGCCAACCCAAAAGGTAAGAGTTCAAGTGTGTACAGGAGAGCAGGGGTGCGTCCCGTGTTTGAGTTTCCGCCTGACTAGAGCAGGGCTGTTGTCCTGTTGCAGTGGGAGTAAACACAGATAACAAACAAAAGGGCCCCTCTAAGGACTTTTAATGCTGGACATTTATTCTTTTATCCAGGCAGTATCATTTGTTTTTTGTTTGTTTGCTTTACTGAGTAGAAGTACCATGGCAATAATACACTATCAGTATATGTGTCCAAGAAAATGCATTGTTTTAAAAAAGTTAAAACCACCATCTTTAAGTATCAAAGGACATGTTTAGAGCCAGTAAAAAGAGTCACTTTGTCTCTATTTAAGTCGAGACCCTGTTTAAAAAATATGGTTTGTGTCTGGAAGGGCTTTAATGCCAGATAGCCATACATGTATAAGAACCATTTCCTTAATCCTCTCAGCCTTGGCTATTTTGGAGAGGTCTGGCACCAGTGATTCCATTTGAACTTTGACAGCATTCCCCCCCTTGTCTCCAAACTGCTCGTCTCTGAGCGGTCTCCTCTGAAGATCTTTCTCCCATCCAAGTACTAACCAGGCCCGACCCTGCTTAGCTTCTGAGACCAGATGAGATTGGGCATGTTTAATGTGGTATGGCCTTAGACTGGAGATCTTTCTTGATTGGTCATTTTTTTTTCCTCATCGTGAGGATTTGCTCTTTCCTGGATTTTGTTTGTTTGGTTTTGGTCCCACATGGGGTGGGGGGATAATGAGCAGATCAGATGGGGGTCAGTGCCAACTAGACACTTTTGGCCAAATTTAAGCAACAAAGAGGCTTGGAAGGAGAGGCTCTTAGGCAGCGGGCATCTAAACAAGGACAATACAGAACAAAACCTAACAAAAGCAGACGTCTAAAAAGCTAACCTGGTTGACACATAAGTAGTTATTAGAGTCATTTTTATGGACTTGATTGTAAATGCCCCAGAAGGATCAGAACTGTAATGACAAAAACTTAAGAGTCATGGTTAAAATTCTGGTGGACAGTTTAGCAACTAACAGAATGGTATATCGTACCACTAACTTTCTGTTACCATGTTTAACTAAATTTTATATTTTAGAAGGCTTGATATATTTGAAAAACATAAATATATTTTGTATAGAGGAACCAGCAACAGCATCACAGCTCTATAGATGTTACATATACATTTTAGTTTAGTTGTTGCTCTTGAAGTAAAACCTTAGATTTTGAAGGGAACAGTGTTAGTGACCCCAAATAGCCCAGCCACATACACATATAGGATACTGACTGCAGTAGAATCACCCAAGACAACACTTGTTTAACATGAGGTCATCTAGAAAATTTTACATAAACCAACTCTTAAATGAACTTTTATTAGTCATGACTCAGTTACCTCAGTCGTCAAAACCCTGACAAGAATCACCAGAGAACACAGGTAAATATTTATGGGGACTAAGTGTGGAGTTAGGAAACCTAATGGCCAAGAATCATGGCTTAGATGTTGGTAAGGGATCACATCCCAGATTGTTGACATCAACACATGGCACGTGACATACAGCAGGATCCCACCAACCTGCAGTCAGTGGAGTCCCCCTAAAATAACAGTGGATGCCCAATCTGGACATCCCAGACCAAAAATTCCCTCTGACTGCTATTTGGAAGGAGTAGGACTAACATCTGCGCTCTGTTGACTCCAATAAAAACTAGAGGTAGTGTGGTGCTCCTTTTTAAGTTTTTTTTTCTTTTATCTATCTGGAGGGTGCGCTTTGGCTTTGATTTTTAACTTTGCTTTACATAGGTAAATCTGTCTAAACCCTCATATCAGTGCAGCAGCACTCCCTGTGCTCAGCTGCCTCTTACCTCTCTGTGTTTTAATAAACCCTTTGTTGTCTTGATAAATTTGTGGATTAACCTGTAGCACCAAAAATTCCTGACAGTTATCTTGAGAAAACAAAAACCATTTTTAAGACAGTTTTTTGTAAATGTTATCAAGAACAATATATTTTTAAGATAGCCTGGTTATGAGCTTAGATAATTAAGTTTTAGTTTAACATCAGTACTTTAAATTTTGACCTTACAAAGCCTTTGAGGTAACTGGATTTTAGTCAACTCAATCACTTACATAAGCATTTAAACTCCATCTTTTTATGACAACTTACTCTGTACCTTTGTGACAACTTACTTTGCATCCTCTGAGACAGCTTGTCTTTATCTTTTTTTATTTAAAAGTATTTTTTAACCTTTTATTTTTAAAAAAACATATCTTTAATATCTTATATATATTTTATTTGTTGAAAATAACTCATAAATCCTTTTAACTTAGAGCCTTGTATTTGCATGAAAAAAACCCCAAAGAAACCTTAAAATTATTTTTTTGTATAAAACCAATTTATAGAAAGCCCATTTGTTAAAAGACCCAATAAGAGAGAATTAAATTCCAGATTTTATTTACAACAGAATAAAACAGGCTAAGGTCAATTTTTAATACCCAAATTTTAAGATTCCTGCAGTACGCTCTGCCCCCCTTTTCTTTTCTTTCTTTTTTTTTTCTCCTACTCTGGTCTGAGCTGGAGTGTTAACCCCTGAATGCCTGTATTCTAGTGAGGCCTGATTGAAATAAGTTTGAAAACTGATTTTCTCAAAAGGAGTAGTAGAACAGTTTTTTCTACATTGACTCTATAATAAGAACTATCCTCAAGAAGTTTACATATTCATATGTAAAAAGCTTAAGCAGTTTATAATAGATCTTTAAAATAAACACCCTGCTTTTTGTTACCTTGAATATCACATTAACCTTATAACAGCAGTTTACGAAACATTTTGAAGATGTTTACACATTTGCACACACACACACACACACACACACACACACTTTTATAAATTAAGCATATTCCAGGAACAAATTAAATTTTCCCCAATGCTTTAAACAAATTCACACACACCTATAAAATTAGAGTCATTCGCAAACAAAACAAAACAAAAACCTTTAAACCAGAACCAGAAGGCTATCTGGTGGACTGGTGGATCATGTTCTCTTGTGAGTCTCACTCTTTGGAACTAAGTTTTTGTTACCCATCCCTTAACCTCAGTTGTGGCTATTTTCAGGGAAGAGCTCAAACACCCCCTCTCCCCCAGAACTGGAGGTGTTTATTTTACCCAAAGTACTTTCTTTTTACTTGTGTTGTTTCTCATCCTGGTCTATCTTGCTGGTGAGAAAACCCCATAGGCGCTCAACCTCCCTAATTCCCTGAGGTGTCTTGCACACTTTCGCCCTGTTCCCTAAACCTGAGGGAACAGGTTTCACCCCAGACAGGGTTACAGGGTTACTTGGGGTTCTCTGGGAAGTGATCAGTCTCCCCTTCTGCCCTCTAAAGGCAGGTCTATTATTTGAACCTGGGTTCTTATCAGGCTGACAGGAAGGGCTCCCAATTGGTTCCCAAGCCTTTTCTGGGTTCCTTTGTGCAACCGAGATTTGCTCTCCAGTGTGCCGGGAGAGGCGAGTCCCTCCATCGAATCAACAGGTCTGTGGGCACCTAGTGGAATGCTCTCCTGACCAGCCAAGGGATCCTGTGTGACAAAGAGGTGCAAACACTGTCTCCGAGTCCCAGACAAGTCCCCATAAATGTTACAGGAATCTCGAACAAAGACATGGGACACCAAGGCTTTACAGAAAACAATATTTATTAGCATGCCGGCAGTGGCTCAGAGGATTCACATCCAAAGGCTGAGCCCCAAGAACAAAGGGGTCTCACCTTATATATCCTTGCAAGCAGGTTACAGAAGTAAAAGCAAGGTCTAACCCATATATGGCTGCATGTAACTGGGTCACCCCCAGTGCTATGTGACCTTCTTTACGTTTAGATTTTTAAGGTTTTCTTTCCCTGCTGTGCCATCCCTCCCCGTGCTACAATGATCAGAACACAGACTTGCTTGTTTCTTTTCTTTTTGGCCCTCCTCCCTGTTATACAAGGACCAATCTTTTTTTTTTTTTTTCCTACTGGGGCTTGAACTCAGGGCCTATACCTTCAGCCACTTCACCAGCCCTTTTTGTAAAGAGGTTTTTCAAGATAGGGTCTCTTGAACTATTTATCCAGGCTGACTTGGAACTGAGTTCCTCCTGATCTCTGCCTCCTGAGTAGCTAGGATTACAGGTGTGAGCCACCAGTGCCTGGCAAGGACCAACCTTAAGCAGGATGTGCCCTTGGCCAGTGCCTGAAGTCTCCAGGCCATCTGCCTTAGTTACCTCAGGAGGAAGTTCACTGTCACTTGTTCTCTGGGTGCCTGTCCCCACCCCAGGACATCAGAGCCAATCCAGAATGCTGGAGTATTATCAGAGAGCTTGTGCGTGGAAGGCTACTCCCCTTGCCCACCAGTCAAGCTGCTCAGGCTGGAATCCTCCCACTGACTGGGAGGCCCAACTTCTCTTCCAGTAAAAACAGTGTTATTTGGTAACATTTCTGTCTAGACAAGACCAATAAAAAAATAAAAATTCTAGAGCACTTGTTTAGCATGTATGAAACCCTGGGTTTGATACTCAGCCCTGGGCTATAGGGAAAAAGAAAATTCCATTTCTTGCACTTCTCTTTTTTCCATTACACTGCTGTGTGTAGGCTCTCTCAGGGGCACAAATGCATGCACACCTTTCTTTCAGTACTGGGGTTTGAACTCAGGGCCTACACCTTGAGCCATTCCACCGGCCCTTTTTGTGGTAGGTTTTTTTGAGATAGGGTCTCACGAACTATTTCTTTGGCGCCGGCTTGCTGCTGGCCCCACCCCTGCCCGCCTGCCAGCTCAGGCCTATAAAAACCCAAGTCCTTTTCTTGCTGCAGGAAAAGTCTGGGAGGAAGCAGCTGAATTTCAGTGGCTTGCGGGCCCTGGTGACAGGGGCAGGGAAAGGTAAGTGTGAACAGGTGAGTAGGAGTACCAGGGCTACAGGGGAACAAGGTGGCCAGACCTGACACTGAATAGAAGCCCGTGTGACTCTGTCAAGGTTCAGTCCCCAGCACCTGACCCCCACCCCACTCAGGACTAAGCTGCTCCTACCATGTGGCTGCAGCCCCTCCCCAGCCACCACAAGATCCCCTGAGAGGCATGAGTTGCCCTGGCCCCACGTCAGGGCAATAGGAATCCAGCTACAGACCTTTCCCGTAGACCCAGTGGCTCAGACTCCCTTGGCTTGACCCTCATCAGCTAGGCTTTTTACTAGGGCCCTGGCCAGCATCATCTTACTGCTTGTTCCAGGGCCACAGAGGTCATAGTCTTCACTCCCACATGCGACCCTACCCCAGCCTTGACTAGGCCTGCAGGGCCTTTTCTCCACTGCATTCCCTCCCTGCAGGGATCGGGCGGGACACTGTGAAGGCCCTGCATGCCTCAGGAGCCAGAGTGGTGGCGTGAGCCGCACTAATGCAGACTTGATTAACCTTTCCAAAGAGGTGAGGTACACAGCCCTGCTGTTGACCTGGGCCAGCACCCCACACCTCCAGGGGTCTCAGAAGCCTGCCAGGACCATATCCAGGGCACCACACAATCTCTCCCACCATCTCTCCCACAGTGTCCTGGTATAGAGCCTGTGTGTGTGGACCTAGGTGATTGGAAGCCACGGATCGGGCACTGGGTGGTGTGGGTCCTGTGGACCTGCTAGTGAACAATGCTGCTGTGGCCCTGATGAAGCCTTTTCTAGAGATTACCAAGGAGGTTTTCGACAGGTGGGAAGTGGGGAGAGTGGGCAAGATGGGAAGGGGCTGCTGAGGACAGGACAGGTAGGGGGAGGTGGCCATGATTCCTCTCTCCTGCCAGGTCTTTCAATGTGAGTCTTCGTTCTGTGTTCCAGGTGTCCCAGGTGAGACAGTGGGAGGGGTGTGGCTCAGCGCCAGCCACTGACCACCGGGGTAGGGAAGGGTGGGGTGGGGTGAGTTGTGTCCAACTCTTGTTTCCCAGATTGTAGCCAAGGGTATGATTGATCGTGGAGTTCCCGGATCCATCGTCAACGTCTCTAGCATGGTGGCCTATGTTACCTTTCCCAACCTGATAACCTACAGTGAGTGCACTCCCCACTCCACACAGGAGCCCCTGGGCTCTGAGGCTGGGCCTCCCTGGAAGGAGGGCTCAGTCCCTAAGGGATCCTCAGTGCTGCCTGCCCAGGGCGCAATGACAGTGCTGACCAAAGCCATGGCCATGGAGCTGGGGCCACACAAGGTGAACATGAGGGCTGAGGAACACAAGATGTGCTACTGGGGGCAAGGCTAGAGGTTGAGAGTGAGGGTAAGGGGGAGGCCTGGGGACCATACAAGCTCTAGGCTGGGGTAGGGTCAGGGGTTTGCTGATCGCAGTAAGGAAGCTCAGACATAGGGGTAAACCAGAGGCTGTGGGGCGGGGCTAGTCCACTAGCTGAGGCCACCTACTGACTCTAGATCCGAGTGAACTCCGTGGACCCCACGGTGGTGCTGACGGCCATGGGCCAGAAAGTTTCAGCTGACCCTGAGTTCTCCCGAAAACTGAAGGAGCGCCACCCACTGAGGAAGTCTGCAGGTCAGGAGTTGGGGACAATGGATGAGTGGGGCCACAGAGGGCAGCCAAGCCAGGTGCCCTGACCGGGTCTGCCGCCCTGCAGAAGTGGAGGACGTAGTCAACAGCATCCTCTTCCTGCTCAGCGACCGCAGTGCCTCTACCAGCGGCTCGGGAATCTTCGTGGATGCTGGCTACCTGGCCTCCTAGAGCGTCCAGGCCCTGCCACCAAGTGGCTTGGCCCGATCCCCACGCCACGGCCCCGCCTTCCACCCACCTCACAGCCCTGCCCTTACATCATGGCCCCGCTCCGGCCCCGCCCCTGCCCAGCCCACTGCCCACGTCTCCGCCCCAGGCCCCGCCCCGGAGCCGCCCACTCCCCACGGCCCCGCCCCATCCAGGCCCCGCCCCAGGCCAACCCACTTCCCACGGTCCCGCCCCCGCCCCCCCAGGCTCCGCCCCGGACCCACCCACTTCCCCATGGCCCCGCCTACTATCCAGCCTCACAACCCTCCACCCGCGGGTCCCTGTCCCCCACAGCCTCCCTCCACCACGCACCGCTACTCAGTCCCCGCAATCCTGCTCCTCGGGTTCCATATCCGCGGCTGCCACGAACCTCCACCCCTTCCCCGCTCACGGTGTCTTCTGCTGTTTTGGGAACGATTTACCTAAATAAAGGAATTCCCTTGTTCCGGAATCAATGCCTTGTTCCGGAATCAGTGCCCCAGGCACTGGGGCAGGCATTTCACTGCCCGCCTACTCCGCCCTATAACCACAGGGCAGCGATTCTTTCGCAAGGAAGGGATTGCTGTTGTCTACGCCCCGGGCAGAGTAGAGAATAGCGGGCAGAGAACAGACAGCGGCCTGCAGAGCCACCTTTCCTCCCCAGAGTCCCGGTTCTGACCCCGCTATCCTTGATCGGTGGACCCAGGTCACTCCCTAAAATAGTGCAGAAGGATCCGTCCTGGCGGGCAGAGGCTCAAATCTAGTAATCCTCCCCGGGGAAGTCCACTCCCATGTGGGCACACCTCCTTCCAAGACCACGGTGAGAGGGCCGCCCAGGGTAGGGCGGGGCTCACAGCAGCTTTTGTACCCACTGTCTGACCTGAACAGCTGGGGCTGGCCAGAGGGTCTTGCAGGCTCTTCCACGTCTCGGCTGTGTTTGCCTGCTATGGCTATATCGTCCTGGGAAGCAGCCAGACCTAAAATGGCTAGCCAAGTGAATTAGCACAGGGTCCATCCTCAGGCAAGGGGGCAGAGGAGGATGACTTAGGGGGGGAGGGAGGAGATGCTGAGGGTACTTCTGACCTGGAGTATAGCAGAACCTTCAGGGAGCAAGGTCTGAGCTGAAGCTGGCTTGAGCCGGTCTGGGCAAGGATCACAGGACATTGATGAGATCTGCACACTATCCTGGACACAAGGTGAAGCCACTTAAAAGGATCTAAGTAGTGCCTAGCTGTGAGAACAGGTTGGGGGCTATCCCTCCTTTGGACTCTGGCAGGCAGAGGGCAGGGTACAAGGTTAGGCAGGTGGCCTTATAAGGAGTGGCCAGCAGGTCAAAGGCTAGGTCCAGGTGCTTAAATTTGTGCTTCTGCTGTACCTGACTGTCCTTGCCTCCAGCCTATCCACCTCTCCGAAAAGCCCGAGATGAATCAGGGGCCCTACAATCACCAGATCCCTACTACACGGAAAGTTAGGACTGCGCTCCCCATGTCAAAAGTAGCTGCACGTTTTTTCCTGTATTAACTCTATTTCATGTAATAATCTTGGCAGGCAAAACGTGCCGAACGGGACTCACTAAACCGATTCCACGCCCCGTGCTTGGGTCTCACCACTGGGGCCATTTGAAAAGCTACACTCTGGGGCAAGCGGAGCCCCGCCCTCCCCCTATCGGCCAATCACCATGACGGGAGGAGCCATCATTTGAATATGCCCACCCTTTGCCAGGAGGCCGCCCTGCGATTGGCTCCGCCGCGCCTCGCCCCCAGGTCCAAGTCCGGGTCCCGGAGCTCAGGGTCTTGGCCGTGCAATCATGGATCTGGGCCTCTCCGGCCGCTGGGCGATGGTCACCGGCGCGGGCAAAGGTGGGCCGGCCGGCGCGGGCGAGGGGCGGCCGGCGGGTTGGGCAGGGGGCGCCCGCTCTGAGCCGCTCTTCTCTCAGGCATCGGGCGCAGCACTGTTCAGGCACTGCACGCGGCGGGTGCCCGCGTGGTGGCGGTGAGCCGAACGCAAGCGGACCTGGACAGCCTTGTCCGCGAGGTAAGCGCTGCGGTCCGGGCCGTGAGGGGCAGCGGGCGGCTAGGATCTGCTGCGCCCCCTGCCGCCCTTCTCGTCGCAGGCCCGGCGTCCTGCGGTAGTGCTAGAGGAGACCCTTCGTATGCCCTCCCAGGGCGCGTGACCTGCGTGGGCACCCGGGCGGCCAGCAGAGAGGTCTGGCCTCTTGGGTTTGGAAGGAGGTTGAAATGTCTGCTTAGCTGTCCCAGGGCCAGGAGCGCTGGGGCAGGGAGGAAGTGCACTGACCGGAGGTGGGCGTGGCTACGAGCTGTGTAGCCCTGGGTTTGCCCAAGAGGCTGCTGGGACCATGTGAGATGCGGTCCAGCAAAACCTTAGCCTTGTGGGGGTCACTCCAGTTGGCCTGGCCCATGGGTGTCATGACCACTGTAGGGTTTACTGCATTCACACGGATCTGGACAGGGACAGGCAGGGATCAGCAAGGCGGAAGGGGCATCCTGGACTGGGTGGTGGGAGGCTCCGCAGCCTGACCGCCCAACCGTGACCCCTCCAGGTGAAAGCACCCTCCTAGCTCCTACTCCTCCCAGCCCAGCCCCCTCTCCGTCAGGTGGCAGAGGTCCAGCTGTGCCCCTTCTTGGGCACAGAGCTGCTGGTACCTGTGCCTTGCCCCAATATACGCAGTGTCCTGGGGTAGAGCCCGTGTGTGTGGACCTGGCAGACTGGGAAGCCACAGAGCAAGCACTGCACAGCGTGGGGCCCGTGGACCTGCTGGTGAACAATGCTGCTGTGGCACTCTTGCAGCCCTTCCTGGAGATCACCAAGGAGGCTTGTGACATGTGAGCCTGCAGGGGGGTGGAGGAACCCTGGGGTCAGGGGAACAGCCATAGTCCCTGTCTCTGACCAGGGTCTGCCCATCTACTACTAGGTCCTTTGATGTGAACCTGCGGGCTGTCATCCAAGTGTCCCAGGTGAGCTGCGCTGCTTGTCAGGAGTAGGAATGCTGAAGAATGGTGCCGGTTCTGTCTCATATCCCTCTGCAATTTCAGATTGTGGCCAGGGGCATGATAGCCCGGGGAGCCCCAGGGGCCATTGTGAACGTGTCCAGCCAGGCTTCCCAGCGTGCTCTGACCAACCACAGTGTCTACTGTAAGTGATTCCAGTTGTGCCCTGATCCCCACCCCATCTCCAACTCTTGGCCTGCTTGGGCTCCATGACAATCCCGTCTCACAGGTTCCACCAAGGGTGCCCTGGACATGCTGACCAAGACAATGGCCCTAGAACTTGGACCCCACAAGGTGAGTTGGGCTGGGGCGCCTCCCACCACCCAGTCCACATGCCCCTTCTACCTTGCTGATCCCTGCCTGTCCCTGTCCAGATCCGTGTGAATGCAGTAAACCCTACGGTGGTCATGACACCCATGGGCCAGGCCAACTGGAGTGACCCCCACAAGGCTAAGGTTTTGCTGGACCGCATCCCACTTGGCAAGTTTGCTGGTGAGTCAGGCAAGAGTCCAAATTGGAGTTGAGTTGTACCAGTGGTCCCTGTTCCTGTCTGGGGGCCAGGGGTGAAGGGAAGGATGAGGGGCAGTCATCGTTTACGCTCTGACCTCCATCTGGCCCACAGAAGTGGAGAACGTGGTGGACGCCATCCTTTTCCTGCTGAGTGACCGAAGTGGCATGACCACAGGCTCCACTATGCCAGTGGATGGGGGCTTCCTGGCCACCTGAGCCCCCTCTACCCATATACACCTCAGCCCCGTGCTTAGGCTGTCCCCCCATCCCCATCCCTCCAATAAACCTGACGCTTCCCAGCTGTCGTGCTGATTCTCAGGTAAACAGAGATCCATTAGCTCCACGATACAGGTCAGATGGTAGCCTGGCTCCCATACCTGAGACTTTCAGGCCTGGCTAGCTCCCTGGCTAGATAGGACCTTCCAGAAAGAAGGCTGGCTCCTTAAAAAGGATGGTGAATTTGACCCAGGATAGCTGTTGGCCTGTCTGGAGACCTTAAGGTGGAGCAGTGGATTATAAGTGTGGATTTTGACATGAATGTTGATCTTCCTTGCAGTTGATAAGTAAGACATGTGAAACAAGGTAGAAGTGTGTCAAACTTTACTCACTTGCCAGTGACCTGAACAACTTCTCTGTTGAATTAGATCAGTTTTCCTATACTGGAGAACATTTCTTTAACCTTTGTGCTGTGCACAACGTGAAGACAAAACTGAAGTTTAATCCACACTTTTCAATCACCTTCCTAAGCCCCAACATTGATAAATCAAGCCCTGATCTTTGGAATTTGTGACTTTCCATGGTGTAAAACTCCAACAGTTGCCCACTTGACGTCATTGGATGTGGAGGTGGGCGGAGATGCATAGTAGCCATGGTAGATAAAACTGATAGAAATAGCACGAGACACAGATAGTACAAAAATAATTAGGAAGTGATGTGTTTGTTAACTTTGTTTTTAACAACTAATTTGTAATTTACACAACTTAATTAATAATGGCTGTTTAACAATAATTACTGATGATGTAATTATCTACTCTCCTGAGCCTGTATAAAGCCACCTGCCCACACCAGTTTCTGATACCATTATCAGACATGATACATGTCTGAGTCATGGCCTGCGGCTTTTAGGATGAAGTCCAAGCCCCTGATCCATAACTTGGGCTCTACCTGGCTGCTGCCACCACAGTTCACTTCAGTAGCACTAGTCCTCATTCCCCCTGATGTCTATGCTTTTGTCTGTTTGGCCCCTCTGCCTGATTCACTTCCCTCTAACACAAGCCACAGGTAGTAAGGGGTGATCTACCTGGCCTGGGCTGGCCTGAGCCTCTTTGCAGATTGACCCCTCTGCACAACTGGGAGCTGTTGGAGAACACAGCCCACTGCACTCTGGCCTGTGTCCCCCAGAATCTAATAGGCCCCAGGTCAGCACACGGAGGCTATACACAGCTGAGGGTGCTTACCCCAGCTTTGATCTAAGAGGTCTCTTTTGGGGTGGAGGTAGCCCCTCTTCTTACCCAGGGCTGGGTCAAGCTCAGAACTTGTGGGTCCCTCTGCACTCGTTGCACTGGGGGTGGGAAGTGGATAGTTAAGGGGCAAGCTACCCTAGGGAAGAAGGCAGAACGGGTAGTGAAAGGCAGGAGGTATTGGTGGAGAATGTTTATTGTATAAAAGAAGAAAGGGCTGCCCCCTCCTGGGACACGATGGACAGACACCCCCCCAACCCTCCCCGCCAGGGCAGCCCATCCTGGGGCTGTCCTGGGCCCGCCCCTGCAGCCCTGAGGGAGACCCTGCTCCCTCCCGGCCTCCCATGGGGGCCAGGGAAGGCTGGAGCTGCACCCCAGATTGGAGGCAGAGGGGACAGGACCCCATCACCCCAGCCTTGTCCCCATGCTTCCCCCTCCCCACCCACACCACTCCCCACAGCAGACTCAGGGACACCAGACAGCTCCACATGACAGCACATTTGAGCCGGGGCTGCTCCTTGGTAGGCTGGCCCCGGGTGGGCAGACTCTAGAAGACTGTGCACTTCTTGCCCGGCTTTTTCACTGGAGGCGGGCAGAGCACTGCCCGGATCGCCTCATCAAACACTGTCTTCAGGCCCCGTTGGGTTAGGGCTGAGCACTCCAGGTATTTGACGGAACCTGGGAGCAGGGAGGGAGGGACAGAGAGTAAGGGAACAGCACAGTAGGGACAGTGCGGTGGGGGGAAGAGTGAGGACAGTTGGGCTGGGGAATACAGGCAGGGCAGGGTCCCTCAAAGCACACCCCCGCCTCTCCCACCTGGGGCCATGCTGTGTTCACCCACCGATCTCTCGAGCCATGGCCAGGCCCTGTGGGTAGGTGATGGGTGCCAGCTTTTTGTCCCGAAGCCGCTCAATGGTGTCCTTGTCGTCACGAAGGTCAAGCTTGGTGCCCACCAGGAGGATGGGTGTGTGGGGGCAGTGGTGCCGCACCTCTGGGTACCACTGTGGAGACAGAGGCTCTGACCTTGCAGGCATCATGGACCCCCTGGCCCTGCCCAGAGCAGGCCCTGGCTCCTGAGGTCCCTTCCTCATTGCCCTTGATACACTCTTGACTCTTTTTGCTTCTCAGGTAACCAGGGGTCTGTCTGGTGGGCTTGGTGGGGGAAATGACAGGGAACAAAAATGCCCAGCCAGGAAGACCTGAGATGTACCATAGCCCCCAGTCAGGGTTCATCCCCAAGTAGTGAGTAGTGAGTAGTGAGTTGTAGCCACCAACCTATGCCATCCCTACCCCAGGGCCACCTTCAGTATCTCCCTCAGAACAGTATCTCCAGGTTTTCAGGCAAGGTGGCAGGGGGTGTGGCTCAAGGTAGAGCACCTGCCTAGCAAGTGGGAGGTCCTGAGTTCACCCCGCACTATGTGTGGGGGAGGTTTTCAGGCAAGAGACCGCTGTACTGTTGGGGAAAGCCGTCCCCCAGAGGGAACCCTCCAGTCCTGTCCTACCTTGGCACGAACATTCTCAAAGGAGGCTGGGCTCACTAGAGAGAAGCAGATCAGAAAGACATCCTTGGGAAAGAGAGACAGATGAAGAGTGGTCAAGGGGACACAAATGGCCCCTGCGTGTCCCCCTCTTCCCCTGCTCCTGGGGCTGGCCCTCTTGTCACCTACAGTTTGGGGATAGGAGAGTGGCCGCAGCCGATCGTAGTCCTCCTGCCCAGCTGTGTCCCACAGCCCCAGGTTGACCGGCTTTCCATCCACCATCACGTTGGCTGAGTAGTTGTCAAAACTGAGGAGCAGAGGAAAGACGGGGGCTGGGAAGAAGTTCCAGGCCACTGGAGCCGGCCAGCAGGCTCCGGGGGTCACAAGCTTGCACGAAAATGGAAACTGATCAGCCCGTCTGCCCCACCAAGGAAGTCCTGAACCAGGGCTACTTGAGCCAGACCTGGAGCCCAGGGGAGCCCCGTACACATGCGCCCAGTCCCGGATGGCCAGCTCCAGCCGCCTCCCACCCGAGCCCACTCACACAGTGGGGATGTACTCTCCAGGAAAGGCGTTGGTCGTGTAGCTGATCAGCAGACACGTTTTCCCCACGGCACTGTAGACAGAGGCCAGCCCACGTGGCTCGCAAGCCCAGTCTCGGCCCCTTTACCCAGTAAGGACAGGCCCCTCCCATAGATCCAGAGGTCAGTTTGGGTGGCTGGGGTGTGGCCAGGGATTCCCGGATCAGCAGATTCACGGCCACCTGGGGCTGATGGGAGGACCACCAGGGCAGGCTGGTCTCCGGGGAAGCAGTGGCGCGGGAGCAGGGGCCTGGGTCGGGAGGCGCGCCCTAGCCGACTGCGGAGCATTCAGTGCCTGGGTGGGTCGTGGGAGGGTGGAGCCGCCGAGGGCTCGGCGCAGGTGAGAGGCCCGGCCCCACCCACTGGGAGCACGGGGCGGGGACCGGGCAGCATCAGGTGGGCCCAAGCCAGAGGCCCCGGGACAGGGAAAGCTTGATCCCATCCCACCCGCCCTTGGGACGCACGCGGCCGTGCTGGGGCGGGGGCGCAGCGGGGCCGCTCCACCCGGACCCCGCGCCGCTAGCCGCCCCGCCCCGCCGGGCCGCGCCCCGGAGCCGCCCGCCAGCTCCACTGTCCCCGCCCCGCCCCGGCGGCCCCGGGCCGCGCACTCACCCATCGCCGACCACCACGCACTTGATGGCCTGCATGGGCGCGGGGCCGGGCGGCGGCGGGCGCGGCCGCGAGCCGAGCTGCGGAGAAATGCCCGGCGCCGCAGCGGCCGCGGACCCGAGCGCCGAGCGAGCGGCCGGAGACAGCCGAGCGCCGCCGAGCGCCGGGCGCGAAGACAGCCGAGCGCGTGGCGGGCGGGGCGGGGCAGGGGCGAGCTGCGGCGGGGGCGGGGCGGCGGCGGCCCAGTCTGTCCTCCGATCTCCACGACTGCAGTGGCGCGGGCCCCGGCACACACCCAAGGGCAAGGGGCGGCACGCGCAGGCCAGCGACTCCGCCGATCTGGACTCGCAGGGCGGCTGCGCGCGGCGCTAGGCAGCACTCGCCCATCGCGTAGTCGGGGAAACAGCCGGTGGAGCCCGGTGTCTGCAGTCCCAGTCCAGACGCGGGCAGAACCCACTGCCCTCCCAGCTCCCTGGCGGTAATCGGGAGCCACCCAGCCCTACCACGGAGGGTCTTTCCCGTGGGGCTGGGACAGCGGTTGAAGAAAGGCGCTGGAACAAAGCGTATCACAAGTGCAAAAGTTGTGTATTTTTATCCCCGCCGCGGGTGGCGTGGCTACTGCGCTCGGGACCGGGACTCCCTCCCACCGTGTCACTGGCCCCGGCCGTCGTTCTGGGATTGTGCGGAAGGAGCCCTTTCCTCGGTGCGGCGTCCTCCAGGCGGGGAGCTGCAGGGTCCCACATTGGCGCGGGCAGGCGCGCCCATTGAGCACCGATGTTAAGGCGAGCCCCTGCCTGGCCACTGCGTCTGAAACTCGCGGACCCCAGCCCTGCCCTTGAGGAAGAGAAGAAGCGGGCGGAAGAAGCTCCTCCACCGTCTCATGGTGCTCCAAGCCTCCCTTCACTTTGGGGGGCTCAAGGCCCTCACGGGGGACCCCTGCACGTAAGCCAGGATTGCATTTTGCAGGAAACTGGCCCTCTGGGCCTCCTCGTCCCGGATGCGCGCGATCTCGGCCTCCTTGAGCCGCAGCTTTTCTCGGAGGGATGCGTTCTCGCTCTCCCTGTCCAGCAACGCCTCCCGGTGCTCACTCGTGATAACTGCAAGTAGGGGCTCAGTGAGGAAGGGGCGCCTCTCCCAGCAGGACCCTGGCCAAGGTCAGCCCTCCAGCTGGTGAGGTGTGCGCTCACCTTTCAGCTGGCGCTCCAGGGCTGCCACCTTTTCCCTCAGCCCCTCTTGGGCCGCCAGCTCTGCCTGCAGGCGGCCCATCTGCTCTTGCAGCTCCACCCGCACCCTGGTCACCTCCACCAGCTTTTCCTGGTCCTTGTTGCTTAGCTCCTGCCAGAGATTGTGTGTTGGGGGGGTGAGGTGTGAGACCACAGCTAGAGCACACACCCCTGGGGCCCGGGGTCCTTGAACCTCAGCTACCTGCTGCAGGTCCTCCAGGCGTCGTCGCTGCCCCTCCACCTGTAGACAGAGCTGGCTGGCTCGTGCCTGAGCCTCAGCCACTGTCTGCTTCTGCTGCAGGCAGGCACCCTGAGCCTCATCCCTTGCTTGTGCCAGCAACCGCATCTTCTCCTCCAGGTGAGCCAGGTGCTGTTGCTGTGGGCATGGAGGGACTGCTGGGCATTAGGGGCTCCTGGCCTGAGCTTGAAACTGGAGGGACGGTCTGCATGTGGAATGACCCTCTGCCCCCTCTGCAAGCACAGAGGGGAGGTTTCCACAGGGTCACAAAAGTTATCACTTGTCTGGTTCTGCAGCCAATTAACTTGCCCTGCCTCCAGAACATCCCCTGCTGGGTTCCATCTGTCCTTCTGGTCCCTCCTTTTACCCACGCAGTACAGGCTGCACGATGGGCCAAGTCCCCCCAGGTGCAGGCTGTACCCAGCCTTATTGGCAGCTCTGGGCTCATGGCCTAGTCTCTCCCACTTCAGGCAGGATCCCACATCTTGTGTCAGCCTTTTGGTCCTGAATCCCTTGTGAAGTGCTACAATAGGGGCCATGCACACCTGTGGGCAAGGCTCACCTCCTCTAGGCGGGCCTGGTTCCTGGCCTTGATGAGCTCCTCCTCAGCCTGGCCACGTTCATTGAGTGCTGCTGCCTTCACCCGGCTCAACTCCTGCACCGGAGACAGCCATCTGCTAACCCATTCTGTCCATGGCCTAGTGTCCCTTCTGGACCACCCAGCAGCCTTCTAAGGGCTAGATAGCTGTCCTTACTCGCTGGGTAGAATTTCCATGGCCAAAAGGGCATGAATGCCAATCTATGTCTCTGACCTCTCAGGCAGAGCAGTGGGTGAGTCCACAAGGTGGGGCCTGATGAGGCTGAGACCAGGAAAGGACCCTTCCCCCAGGGTCCTGAGGCTGGGAACACCAGGGGCTGCCACCCCTCACTCATCACAGGGCTAGAGCTCAGCCCCAGCCCAAATGGTCTCACCTCCTCCAGGGATAACCGAAGAGCCTCCAATCTCTGCACCCTCTCCTGCATGGCCCGCTCACTGTCCTCCAGGTGACGGGTCATGTGATCCACCTGCCCAAGTGTGGGGGTCAGGAGGCAATACTAGCAGGAATGGGCTCCCCCAGCCTTTCCCCCATGGAATCCTGCAGGTGTAATTTGGGAAAGGGCAGCCCCAAGGGGACTGGCAGGATCCAAGGATGGAAGGCATAGCTCAGCCCTGGTACCCCATGTCCCTGGAACAAGGGAGGCTGGGTGAGACACAGTAGCCTGAGCTACAGCCACACAGTGGTCACTGCCCAGCAGCCTTGACATCACCAATTCAAGGCTGGGAGGGGACCTGACCAGGGGCATGCTTTGGGGACACCACATCACAACAAGAACAGTCTGCGGGGTGGAGACTAGAGAGAGCCAGGAGGTCTAAGACAGCACCTCCTTGACATGCAGCTTTTCCAAGTCCTCCAAACTCTGTTTGGCCCTTCTCTTCTCCATGTCCAGGCGTTCTGGAGGCCCAGTGGGGAAGAGCAGAGTGAGTCCTCTGAGGGTGCCTCATCTCTGGGCTACCCGTCCCCTCAATGGTAGGCTTGCCCATGCACACCCTCAGCCTGGATGGCACGAATCTTCAGCTCAGCTGAGGTGTTGGTCAGCTCCTGCCTGGTCAGAAACAGCTGCTCCTGCTGTGACTTCACCTTCCGCTCCAACTCATCCATCTAGAAAGCCAGCAGTACCAGATGAAGCTCTGTCCAGCTCAGCCACTCCTCCCTGGGCTCCCTGGGCAGCTGACCCATTACCCTTGTACCTGGTTTCGAAGCATCAGGTTCTTTTCATTGGCAGCAGACAAATCTCTGAGGAGCTTAGACTCTCGCTCTACAGCTTCCTGAGTGAGAAGGCCGTAGAGCACTGTCTTTGGGCTGTCCCATGCATGCCCACCCGTCTACCTGTTCATGGCCCTGCCCCCACCTGCTGCTCCAGCCTGCGCTCCTTCTCCTGCCTCTGTGACAGGCTCTGCCGCTCCTGCTCTGCTGTGACCAGCTGCTCACCCAGGTCTTGGACCTTCTGCTCTGACAGAGCCAGGGCAGCCTCGGTCATCTGCAGCCTGCAAAGAGGGAGGGCCAGCCCCACCCCAGATCCATCAGGAGCATCACCTGTTTTGCAAAGGTCTCCTGTTCTCACTCGTTAGCCCCCATTCAAACCCCAGGCAATACTTGCTTCCTCCAGAAAATCTTGATAGGTTACTGTCCTGCCTCTGCCTACACACAGGATTCTTCACCCTTCTCTCTCCTTTGGGCTCCTCCTTATCTCTGGAGGCTGCCCCCTCCCCTGCTTACTTGGCCTTGAGGGCATTGATGATGGACTGTCTCTCATCCAGGGCTTCCTGAAGCTGACCCACACGTGCCGCTGATGCTCTGTGACAGAGAGGTGATTCTGGGAGACCCAAACCCCAGAGCGTTCCTGGTCCCTCCTGGCCTTGACAGCAGCTGTTTCTCAGTATGTGTTTATGGTATGCCAGGAAGCACTCTGCACCTGCCACTAACCTCCAGTCCACTTCCATGGGAAGCACATGCTATGACTTCATTTGAGGACAAGTGACAGACAGGGCTCAGGTTATGTTACGCTCCAGTCAAGAGCCAGAATTTGAACACCATGCACCCCAGCTGAGCTGCAGCCTTTTTTCCCAAAAGCCCTGGACTCAACTCACCGGCTGCTCCTGGCTATCTCGTCTTGCTGCTTATCAATTGTCTCCATCAAGTCCAGAAACTGAGGACAGAGCCAGTGAAAGCACCATCAGGTCCAGAGCCTGACCACCCTGCCCTGGTCAGGAAAAGGAGAGCAGACGCCCACCAAAGCAGCCAGGTGGAAAAGGCCTCAGTCTCCCTGGCCCCACTGCCTCATTCAAAGGGAGAACCTGCAGAGGAAGCCAGGCTCCAGCTCTCAGAGGAAGCAGGCCCACACAAGGCTGGAGGCCCCCTCAGTTCTGGGTATCATCGGCTCAGAGAGGCCTGGGGGAAGGGAGGATGAGCACGCCATAGGGGAAGCTGGCCAGGCTTTGCATCAACAGCAGCCAGGGTGGGCCAGAGCAGCTGCAAGGTCAGTGAGGGCTCTGTGCTCACCTGCTTGGACTTCTCTTCCTGGAGGTGCCTGACCTCCTTGCTAAGGACGTGCGTGCGGGCCTGGCTCTCCCGGAGGGCAGTGAGCCGGTCCTGGTTGTGAGCCATGGCTTGCTCTGTTGGAGTACAGCAAGGTTGAAGGCTGTTCAACCACAGAAGGAGCCAAAGGCTGGCCCAGCCCTGTGCTGGCTGTGCCTGGAAGCTGGTCATTTGGGAACACAATAAATCATCACTCCCCCTCCAGTGTACCAGGAAGTGAAGCACCTTATTGGGGTGGGGCTGAGTGCAGTTGATGCCTGGTATAGGGGTTTCTTGCACAGGTGGGGGAAGCTGTTCCACTACTACCATCCTGAGGCATCTGGACTCCACCCCAAAGGCCAAAGGCTACTGTACAACTTTAAGAGGTAGACACTACATTTTAGAACAACCCAGATAGCTGGTGTGATGGTGTACGCTTGTATCTCCAGCACTGGGGAGGCTTAAACAGGAGGATCTCAAGTTCGAGGTCAGCCTGGTAGCAAGACCCTACCTCACACACACAAAAAAAATTTAAAAAACAACCAAAAAGCAGTTATGACGGCTACAGCCGTGCACAGGCAGGGCTGGAACAGCACAAAGCTGGAAACAGAAGAGTCAGGCAGAGCCAGTAGGAGATGGTACCCCTGCAGCACAGGAGAGTGACATAGGATGGAGTTCGGTTCGCCAGGCCCAAGCTCACCCACACTGCTCATGCTCACAGTTACAAACGTGGGGGTGATGGGTGCAAATGCCAAGAAGCCTCTCCCTAGCTGTAGCCTGGGCCATCTACATGATGCTGGGCCATCAGCATGGCTCAGGCCAAGGGACTCCAAGCCACGAGGCCTCAGGTTCCCGTTTGTGAGATGGGGGACTCCTGGATTACATGGGTCTTAGGAACTGAGGAAGCACATTTGCCTCGAGGCAGCAGTGGGCAGTGAGCACCAAGCAAGCTGGCTGCCGCTGTTTGCCTGTAGCTCTTTCCCTTTTCCCCTTGGGTCTTAGCTGAGGCTAGCTACTCCTGTAATAACCTTACCTGTCCCGAGTCCTAAGCCACCCTCCTCCCTAGGTGGATGAGCCTCTGTGAAAGGGCTCCATGCCTTGCTCCAAACTTTGAGCTGTGTGCCCATACCCACGGCTCTTAGGATGTCGCTGGGGATGTTGTTCCCAGCCAGGTCCAGCCTCCACAAGGTTCTGTTGCTGGGGAGACAGTTCACCAGGGCCCGGCCCCCCAGGAGGCCAATGTTATTCCAGCGCAAGTCTGAAAGGAAACCTATTGTCACCAGACAGAAGGCACTTGGCAGGGTGGGGGAGTTGATCTGCCTTAGGACACTTTCTTTGTGGGGTACTGCCTGTGGTCACCAACAGAGCAGGAGCCCAGGCCAGCCCCTCCAGCAGCAGAGCCACAAAGGAGCAATAGGATCCAGCCCGAGGCACCCAGGCCCCACGGGGATGCAGTGAAGGGGACCTCACCCAGCTGCTGGAGTGTGGCATTGCCCTTCAGGGCCAGGGCCAGCTCCTCTGCCCCCTTGTGACTGATCTGGTTGTTGCGGAGGTCCAGCTGCCGCAGGGTGCAATTGGCTGCTAGGCCCCCACAGAAGGTGGCAAAGGCATCTTCCCATGTGCCCAGGTTATTCCACTCCAGGGTGATGCTACAAGAAACGTGGACAGAAGGTGCCTCAGGGGGCCCTGGAACTGCAAGGGGTGAGGGGATCTCTGGAAGGGGTTAGAGCCACCTGAGTGATTTATATTAGTCTACTCCCCACCAATGGGCATGGAACACAGATAACTGGGCTAAAGGAGTGAATGGACTCCAGGACAGTGTCACCTGGGCTACACAGAGAGAGGGGGCTGGGAGGTGCAGGTGGGGCCAGGACCGCAGCCCTACCTCTGAATGGACTGGTTCTGTCGGAGCAGTTTTCCCAGAGCCTCGGCCCCTGCAGCTCGAAGGTTATTGCCCTAGGATAAGGACATCCTGGCTGGTTACTCTGGTCGCCCTGGCTGGGGTCTGAATACCACATCCATGACCAGGGTTCTGGTCAGGCAATGGACAAAGCCAGGGAGGCAAGCTCTGGGTGAAGGTATGGCTATCAGGCTCTAGTTTTCCTGATCTTAGTAGGCACCCTCCTGAGCTCTACCCTCAAGCCACTGCCACACGCATGGGATACCCAGAGCAGTGCAGAGGCTCTGGGTGCCAGGAGCTCTTACAGTTTCTGGCCACGGTCAAGATACCAGGCCCTGTGTCTCTTCCTATACTACCAGGGTGCAGGCCTGCTCACCTTTAGATCCAGAAGCTGCACAACAGTGTTGGCACAGAGCCCTTGGAACAGCAGTGTGGCCCCTGTGTAAGAGGAAGACTGTCACAAGCTGTAGACCCCACAGCAGGGCAGGTGCAGGAGAGAGAGCTGTCCCAGTGGTTCCACTGGTCAAGGTTCACACTGGAAATGTCTTCCCACTTGTTGTGAGGTCATGTTAGGTGCATCTGCATCCTGCCAGGCACAGAGCCAGGCGGTTGAGACCTCTCTCAAGTCAGCGTGTGTGAAACCACAAATGCAGGGGACGTTAAGGCGTCTTTTCTTCTACAGAGTGAAACTGCCCTGACTACCAGAGTGCGAGAAGCAGAAAGGGAGGAGGAAGCAATCCAGCCTCCAGCAGCTACCCAGGCCGAACAAAGCCAAGGCACAGGGTTGAGGCCGGCCCTAGAGCAAAGGCCTGAACCCCCTAGGAAGTTGCAGAGGCAGCCCCATGCCGGATGGCCCACCTTCCTCACTCAGCATGCAGTCGCTGAGGACGAGCTCCGTCAACAGTGTCTGCTTCTGCAGCAGCTTGCCCAGCGCCCTGCAGGTGTCCGGCGTCAGGCTCTGCGTGGCCAGGTCCAGTCGGCCCCGCGGAAGCTGGTGCAGTTGCTTCAGGACAGCCTCCTGGGGCTCAGCCCCACTCTCCTTGCACAGGCGGCTGTAGGAGCGCCGGAACTCCTCCATGTCCCCGCGTGCTGGCATGACCTCCCCGGCATCGCCCTAGAGACAGGCCCCATGTGAGCTGGCCAGGCCTCCCGAGAGGGGAGGTCTACATGGAATCCCCGGTAGCCACTAAGCCCCACGGTTCAGTGTGGTCAGCCCTAAGCGAAGGCGCTGCTTCAGCCAGCGGGGACGTGGGACGAGCTGCGCTGTTCCCTCCCAACGGGAGGCCTAGCAGGGCGGGATGAAGGGTGGTCGGGGACCTCTCAAGGAGAAGAGCGTCCGGTAGGGGGGGACCTCTAGCAGGCAGGCGCGTCGCACGTACCCCAGATCTGCCCTGCGGCCCCCAGCCTGCCCTCGCGCCCGGGCCCTGGCTCGCCGCTGGGCTCTACACCCGCCCGCGAGCCTCAGTATCCAGGAAGAGCGCGTCGCGCCGGGAAGAGCGGCGAGAACTACAACTCCCAGAAGGCGTTGCGGAGACGGCGATCGCCGCGGGCCAATGAACGTTAAAGGCGGGCTCGCGCGGACGGCAGCAATCCGGGGGCAGCACGTTCCGGCTCATTGGCTAGTGATGGGGGGCGGGGACTCCTGGGGCTGCGCTCCATGCGCATTGGCTGGCATCCTGTGGGGCGGGGATCCAGGAAGGCGCGCTCCGTGTTCATTGGTTGGAACGCCGGGAGGGGTTTCCGCAGAGTCCGCGCCTAGGCTGAAATCATGGAGGGAGCCAGCTCTGGTTTCCGGAAGGTGAGACTAGCGGGGCGACTCGGTGCTGGCGCCGATACTGCGGTCTCCGCGTGACACCTGTGCGGGCGCGCTGTGCGCTCGTGCCTCTGAGGGTGGAGGTCCTGCAGCTGGGTGAATGTGGACGGCTTGGGGCTGGACGGGGCGGGTCTGCAGAGGGCCGGCAGGGCGCACTGCCCGCGGGGTCCAGGAGGACCCAGAGCCGGGCTGCTGCCCTGCCGCCCCTAGGGCTGTCCGCAGGCGGGACGGGGCGGCGGGCAGCCGGTGTGCCGCAGGCGGCGTAGGAGCGCGGGAACTGGAAGTCCTCCGTGTCCCCGCGCAGTGGCAGGGCCTTTCCCACGACCGGCGCGGTCACACGGACTCAGCCACCTGCCAGGGGGAAACCGAGGCACGGCGTCCCGTGGTCGCGCCCGGGCCACGCCCAGAGCGTCCGACTCCGGCCCGCGCGCTGCGCACGGGGACGGTGCCGGCTCCGTGGTTCCGAGCCTTCGTTTCGGCGGAGGCCCGGCCCGGCGGAGGGCTCGGATCCCGGAGGGAGGCACCGAGGCCACGCCGAGCCCGCCTGTCTCCGGAACAAGCCCTGCTGGGCAGCGGGAACCCTGACGGCTTCGGTTCGAGCTGGGGCTGGGGTCATTACAGGCGACAGTGACGAGCAGGCCGTCCCCAGGGAGGGTGGCGAGGAGGGAGAGGCTGTTAGGGCGGGAGCTCGGGGTGTCCCAGTTCCTCCTGGCCCGTCCCTTTCCACTCACTGCTGTTTGTGCGTGGAACGACCTCGGAGCTGTCTGTCGCTCGGCGCCGGGCAGTTCTCTAGGGGCAGCAAACTGGGGGTCCCGGGACAGGTGTCTTTTTCTGGTACCTTCCTGGGTGAGGACCAGCAGGTGGCGCTACGCTCCCGTCGTCTTGACAACCGCATCACCCCAGCCTCTCTCCACCTGCTCTCTGCACTGGGTGCCGCCGCCCTCACTTTCCCTTCGTGCTGGTGACTTTGTATGGTCTCAGGGCTTCACACACTGCACAGCTTCAGTTCCATCTGCCCCAGCCACTCTTCGTGTGAACAAGTGAACCGAGCCCTCTTCCCTGCTTACAGATTACCACATCCTTTTGGGGTCTCAAGCCCGGGAAAAACCTACCCCCATACCACCAGTCCCCTTGAACATCCCCTGCCCAGGAGACCCAGCTGGCTTTGCTCCTCACTCTGGGGTCCAGGGTAGCCGTGTCTCCAGCTGGAAGTCACAAGCTCATTCCATCTAGAACTAATGCCCAGGGGCCTGTGGAGAGGCTGGTGGTGACCCTTCCTCCCCTCCAGGAGCTGGTGAGCAGACTGTTGCACCTGCACTTCAGGGATGGCAAGACCAAAGGTGCGGGTGCCAGCAGAAGGATGGAGGGAGGAGGGAGAGAAGGAAGAAGGGGTCACATAATCTCTCCCCTTTGCAGTCAGCGGGGACGCACTGCAGCTCATGGGGGAGCTGCTGAAGATCTTCGTCATGGGTGAGCCAAGGGACCTGCAGTACCAGAACACTCAGGATTCCTTATTTATTTTTGGCAGTACTGGGCTTTGAAAGCAGGGCCTTGTGCTTTTCAGGCAGGTGTTCTACCACTTGATCCATGCCCCCCAGCCCTTGTTTTATTTTTCAAGGGAAAACTGACAAGTTTTCTATTAACACCTAAGCTCTGTCCCTGACAAGCTGTTAATCTGGAGCCACCACCTGGCTCTTCTGAGGGCTGCAGTGGAGTGGGCTAGGGAGGGGTCGGGGCAAGCCCTCCAGCTTCTTCCACTTCCCTTTCTGGTGTTATGCCAGAAGCTGCTGTCCGTGGAGTCCGACAGGCCCAGGCAGAGGATGTGACCATTGTGGACTTGGACCAGCTGGAGAAGGTGCTTCCTCAGCTGGTACGTGGGGCACAGGTGGGCAGCCTGCAACATCAGGTAGTGCCCAGCTCGTCACTCTGAACACTCATCTCCACAGCTCCTGGACTTCTAGAATGCCCTCTCCTGGAGACCATCCCTACCCCAGGGTTGCTTCCCCGCCAATGTGCCTCCTGTCTTCTGTGGCTTGAGGGTTCTGGTGTGGGTTCACACCAGCATCACCATCTGTTCCCAGTGTTCTCCAGCCTCCAGGCAACCCTTGCCTTTCCTGGTGTCCTCTCTGCTCATGGCTTACAGGCCCCTTGGAATCTGAGTGAGGCAGGTGCGGGGGAAAGGTGGACTGGTCTGCCGCCAGCTGCAGCCACCCTGGGTAGCCTGTGTGTTTTACAAACAAACCAGCTGTTGGCAGCATTGCCTTCTGGCCACCCGACATCAAAGCTGATGTGCAGCCTTTTAGCCACCTGAACCTCCCCTCAGAGGATGCCTCCCTGAGCTATAAATTTGTTCTTACAAAGTGACATCAATAAATCAACACTGTCTCTCCCAGGCTCAGCCTTCTTGTTGCCATTAATCACCCAAGGTCAAGTTGCTTCAAAGCCTTGGCCCCACGCGTCCTTCCATCCGTTTTGGTGGGATGAGGGCAGAACTCTTGGGAGGGACAGGATAACAAACAGCATGTGTGCACACACTGCCTGAGAGACAGTGAAACCAGAGCCTTCGCACATGTGGATGGTTTGCTTGGGAAATGTTATTTCTGCCACAGGCCACAGCAGCTGCCACTGGTGAGCAGTAGGGTCCAGGGGTGTTGTTATGAACCAGTCTCAGGCCACAGGGCTCACTGGTACTGGTACTGGAGGTCTAGGATGAGAGGGACCCTGCTGCTTGGGCCAGTGCCTGCCTTGATGCCCTGCTGAAAAGAAGGGCCTCTCCTTACCTCTCCCCACCCCAGGAGAGGGAAGGTGCAACTCAGGCATACACTATGCCCACTGGCCACCTCAGACATTGGAGCTGTATGGTACCCACCCAGAGGCGTTGTCCAGCACACAAATCTCTGATGTGCAGGCTTTAACTGGTCAGCTCTCCTTGTGCCAGTTCTTAGGAGGCATGCAGGGTCTCCAACCCCTCAGTGCCCTTGTAGGATAGGATGACTTGGAGCCCCTCCCAGGAGCCCTCAAAACTGCTTTGATTACCAGAGCCCATGGGGAAGGGGTGTAGTCAGGCCCTGGGGCAGAAAGGACACCAGCTGCTTTCCGTGGGGGGGGGGGGGCTCCTTACTTGGGAGGTCTTGGAGGCAGCAGCCAGATGGATTAAGCCCCACTGGCCTAGAGCAGAGCTCAGTGGGCAAAGCTGCTTTTAGTGCATGCTGCCCAGCTCTGCCCCCTGCTGGTGGGTTTGCAGCATCTAACCCCTGGGGTGCAAGTGGAAGTCAGGCGACTTCCTGCAGAGAGGGGCTGGCTCCAGCCAACTAAAGTGTTGCAACTGGCTTCACAACTAGGCTGGGAGCATAGGAAGAAGTCACCTGAGACTCCAGGCCAGGTCCTGCCCAAGGCAGCTCTGCAGTAGGGGTGGTCTTCCTCCTCCCTCAGAACTGTGCCTAAGGCTTGGCATGGTCCTGGGTTGCAGATAACTTGCACCTCTGTCCTCATAGGAGAATGAGTCAAGAGATTAGACAAGGAAGCCAGTGAACCCCTGGGCTCTGTCCTGCCCAGGCCTTTCAGGAGGGATCTCTGAGCCCTTGTAGATGGGAGCACACCACAATCCAGCCAGGCCCCTGGGGGCCAGCTGGTAGAAGCACAAGAGAGTGAGCTGGACTGAGACCCATAGCCTTTTTTGCAGAAAGGACAATGAGCGGGCCTTGAGAGAAGCGCGTGTCTTTATTCCTGCTCGGGGTGAGTGGGGGGGTGGGGTCCTGTGGCCAGTGATGGGCACCTCTGGGCTGGCAGTTCTCACCTCTTGCTGGCTGTAGTGCAAACACACCAGGATGACCACAGAGCCCTGAGCTCCTGCCCGGCTGCCCTGTCCCACCCAGCCAATCCATGGCAGGCACCTGGCAGCTTCAGCCACTTGGGCACCTTGCCCAGGCTCCTCCTCACAGGCTGGGCTGTCCCTGGGATGGGCTCTGAGGGCCCTGGTGCTCCCTCCTCAGGAGTTGGCTCAGACTCCAGGGGTATGGGGTCAGGGGCTGCTGGCGAGGGTGGAGACATGACAGTCCTGGACATGTACCTGGGGATGAAAAACCAAGACCAGGATAGCAGCACTGTATCAGAGGCACCATTCACCCCTATGGACACTTACCTAGCTACCAGCACATCAGCTGCAGATGGGGAGACGGTGTGTTCCAGCAGCCCTGGCTCCAGGTAGAGAGCTTCAGAGGACAAAAAGCCCATCCTCAAATGAGTCCCCCACCTTCCACACACATGCTCAGCTCTGGGAGGGTAGTGTGGCTGGGCAGGTGCCTAGAGAGGGAGGCATCAGGAACTACAGAATCCCCCAAATCTATGCGGTCCCCAGATTGACTGTCCTCTAGGGCATCTCGTGTTGGGAGTTGGATAAGCTGGGATTTGGGGCTGGGGATGGCTGGCTGTCAGCAGGGTGGGGGCCTCACTCACCTGTTGGTTCCTCAGCTCCAAAGTGCACGAGGGCAGCAGGGAAGAGGTTTGCCTGCAGGGAGGGCAGGGGGTTCAGGGAGGGCCAACAGAACATCCAGTGGGTCCAGGGTCTGGTGATGGCCAAGGCCCTTCCCTCTGGTGCTCTGCCCAGTATAGACCACAGGGACCTCATATAGGGCAGTATAAGCGGTACCTGAGAACTACACTTCTTGTTTGAACAGTACCATCTCTTTTCACTCCTTGCCCAGAAGCAGGACCAGTAATCATGTTCCTGACCATCACCCAAAGTCCACCATGTACTTGAGCTTGTGACTAGAGAACATCCTGCCCTGCAGATGAGAGACCTAGGGCTACGTGGATGGGGAGTCTGAGGACTGACAATAGGGGAAGGGTAACCTGCCTTTGTCTGGGAACAGAGATGGCAGAGACAGGGAGGTCTGTGCCATTCCACTGACTGTCCACACCACACCTCCCCAGGGACTCGCCACCTGGTTAAGCCCAAAAACAGAGTGAAGGACTGTGAGCAAGGGCCTCCTTCAGGTGGGGACTTACCCAGACCCACTGGGAGATAGCAGTGCCCTGGGAATGCAGGCTCCCCACATGAGGCAGGGTGCTGGCTTCCAGAACCAAGTTATTTTGCGAATCCCAGGCAGGCCATCACCACTGGGCTAGTGGAAAGAGAGCCATGGCCAGCCAGTCCCAAGCTCCTCCTATCCCACCCAAACAAGGGCAGTGAACGCTTTGCAAACCCAACTGAGACACCTGCAAGGGAAGCCTTCTGAACCACATCACCCACGCAGGGTGAAGGACACAGGGTTTCTGTTCAGGGACCAGGCCCGCCTGCTTGGGCACAAGTGTGGGCAGGGAGAAGAAAGTGGATAGGGTTCCTTGCCTCCCTGGGGTCATGGCTTCCGAGATTCCTTGACAGGTGGACAGTGGTGTACCCTCAGAGCTGCAGAGGCCCCAGAGCCTCTGTAGGAAGGATATCCCATCCCTCCCTCTTCTCTGGCCTCTGCACCAAAGGGAGGTGGGCGCTGGGCCTGGTTGACATGGCCAAGGGCTACCAGGGCCAGAGCCAGTGAGGAGCCTGCCAATGTCCTGGTAAGGGGCTGCAGCTGCTGGCTGAGGGCATTCTTTCCCATTCTTTCCATGCGGCTACAGGCTGCTCTGACCGTGTGCCACAGGCTTGCAGGGGTGGGCGGGGTGGGTGGGGTTGGGGGATGTTAAAAGATTAATAAGAGCAAGCTTCAAAGGCCAGGCCTAGGAACGCTGAAACCTCAGCCGGCAGCCGAGGGACACAAACAAGGGCGGTGAATGCTTTGAAACCCAATTGTGAGGCGTGCGATCAAAGCATCCTGAAAAGAGGCCTGTGGGGTGGGCGGGGGGCTGCCCTAGTGCCCCTGGAGAGGCGCCGGAAGGAGCCAGGGAGCCAGGCAGGGGGCATGAAGAGGACAGTGCCAGAACCTTCCTCAGTGCAGCATGGACAACCCTATCTCCCACCTAGCTAGCCTTGCTGTGGCCAGGCCCACCCTCTGCACCCAGTGCCAGGGACCAGCGGGGTTAACATGCAGGCTGCAGCCTGTCTTTCAGGCCCTTCTGGGAAACATGGTAGGTACTGCCAAGGGGGCTCCCTCAGAAAATAAGGAGGGATTTATGGGTGTGCCTGGTGCTCGTTACAACCCCCACAGGCAAGCCCCCTCACCTGGCAGTACTTGGGAAGTGCAGAAAAGGCAGAGGGGACCCAGGTGTACCAAGAGAGGGAAAGGGCTTCACAGCCGGCTTTGGGAAGTATAAGGCCATGCAGTAACTCAGTCTGTCCTCACCCTCAAAGGAGAGAGAGGCAGTAAGGCAACAGATTGGGTGGCTTCAAGGCTGGGTGGTTTTCAGGGAGGCTGGGCCGCCATATAAACCCCAAAAGTGATCCCCGAGCTCTACTGCACCTCCCACTCCAACCTGTGGAAACCCTCAGCTGAATCCCCTAGGAATGTGTGAGGTTTCTATACTCTCTAGGCTCCCAGGAACAAAACCCTACCTTGGCTGGTACCCCAAGAACAATACTACCACACTTTCCTCCCTAGGACTAACAACCATGCAGGAAAGCGAGACTGATCCCTTGGGGTTCCTTGTGTCCCTGCCTCCCTACTACAAGCACACCTCAGGTATGGCCAGGGTGAGCCCTGCTCAGGTGAGTGGGCAGTCTACACCATAGTTTCTTCCCTACAGCCTAGGAGAGTAGGTTGTACATTCCAAGGGAACTGGACAAGAAACCTCCCAGCTGTGGGGCTCACTGGTTCCTTATATGCTGATGCCCTGCACTGGCACTGAGTCTCACCTGATTCAGGATAGGGGTATGCAAAGATGGCATTGTTCAGAGCTGCCAGCCAGCCAGAGTCTAGAGCCCACTTCATCCCTACTCTTCTTCTGCCCTGAACTTGGAAAAAGGCCCCCAAGCAGGGAAGCCTGGGGCTTCTCTTGAACCCAGCTTCCCATTACCCCTTAATGCCCACCTGAAGGCCTGAAGCCCTTGTCCATTAGCTTGGGTCTCTTGGATCCTGATGGAACGAGGGACAAATGGACAGCAGACTACCCTGGCCAACAGAAAGGGGATTCCATCCTCTGCTCCCTTATCAGCCTCCATGGACCACTTTGCCCCATGCCTGGAACTAAGCTCAGTCTCATCTGCCCTCCCCCAGCACAGACAAGCATGGAAAAGGGGATGGAATAGACCTGACTGTGAACTTCCAAGCCACCCCCTGGTCTTGTGGATAACTAAGGTTTAGCAGAGGAAGGATGGTGTGGCAGTAAGATGAGGGGCAACTGGTATAGTCTCACACACCAAAGGCAAGAGAGGCAGGACCTGCTATGCTTCAGGAACCACCGCAGACCAGGTGGGCTGGATCCAGGGTCTAGGTCTGCTCCTGCTGGGCCCTATTCCCCCAATGGGACTGATAGGCAAAGCTCATCTTGAGGGTCCCTAGAGAATACTGCTGGTCTCCAGGGCCCTGGGTGAAGTAGCGGGTGGAGGTTGGGATAGAGCCAGGGCAAGGGCCCCAGGGCTCAGGGTGGTACCCATACTAAAGAGGCTGAGGCCCAGGAAGAAGGTTTGAAGCCTCTGTTCCCACATTCTCCTGGTCCTTGTCCTCACTCCTGACCACCCCCCGCCCTTGTTCTCCTAAGCCTGTGGTGTCCCCTACATGCAGGCTGTATAGTACTCTGGAGCCAAGGGCTGGCCCAGACACTCCCACCCCCAGCAGCAGAGCTTAGCCCTGCCAGACATGAAAGCTGTGGCTTCCGCACCGCGCCTGCTCACCCGCCGGAGAGGGGCAGGCTTCCTTCCCTCAGCCCTGCCAGCTCTGATGGCAGCAGGCAGGGACACCACCCCTCAGGAGGCCCTGCGGCTCCAGACTGAGCTGACGGATGAAAGGAGACGGCTGCTGGTGGCAGGGGGCACAGTGTCACCAGGAATCAGACTAGGACAGACTGGAGGCTCCATGGGGCTCTGTGGGAGGGAGGTGGGGGACTCCTAACCGGGGGGGAAAAGACTGGGGGCTGGGCACTGGCCCTCCATCCCAAAGCATCTTCCAAATTCAATGTTTATCAACAGGCTGGCCAGGGAGTTGGGGAAGGGTGGAGATGGAGGAAAGAGGCCCTACTCGGGGGTGGGGAGGTGTTTATGGACCACGAAGGGAACTGCAGGTCATGGGCTTGCGCCCCAAGCTCCTGCACTCCAGGGTGATGTGGCTCCACTTCTGCAGCCCTTGGTGAGCTTCCAGCCCACCCGCCTGCTCCGTGCCCCATCTCACCAACAGTGACAGCTCCAGGCAGCCAGTGCAGCCTGTTACCCCCAACGCAGACCTCTGCAGAGGCCTTTGCTTCTGTTGTTAATTAAAATATCTGAAGAGATTTTTAAAAAGGAAACCATTAGGCCAGAGGGGCTAGGGAGGCCTAGCTGCTCTCCCAGGGGGCCAAGGGACAGGACATTCATTCCTCCTGGCTCTGAAAGGCAGCCAGCAGGGCACAGGATCAAGTGGCCTCAGCCTTGAAGCTCTCTGGACTTTTTAGGGGCCTGGTGGGAGAGAAAAGAGCCACCATGGCATTCTCATCAGAGGGCAACCAAGTTCAGGGGAAGGACAGGCACAGGAAGAGGGGCAGAGATAACAGGCCAGGCAGCCCCTCCAGCCCAGGGCTCCAGCCCTCCTGCAGCTCTCCACCAGCCCAGTCACCAGGCCTGGTGTCACCCAAGAGCCCAAAGGCTAGTACCTCAGAGTGGCCTGAGCAAGTTCCTGCTCAGGCCAGCAGGTCAGGCAATCAGGCAGGCCCATCCCTGCCCTGGGCAGGAAGCTGAGGTTGGAAAGCCCTTTCAGAACCAACTTCAGAGGTGTGCTGCTCCCTCTGAATTCACTGGCTAAACTCTAAAAGGCTTTATTACTGCCACCAGTGCCTGACAGGGCACCCCCCGGGCACTCACAGTATGGCCCTGCCAGAACCCCCAGCGGGGCAGTCATACCTGAAAGAGGGTCAGCGTGTGATCATCCAGGATGGTTTTGGGAGGAGCGATGACTGTGGAGAGACGGGGCTATGTTGGCAAGCCTGTTGCCCCCCCCACACCTCCAGGAAGACAGGTCTGAGGGCAAGGCAACAGCCTCAGGTGGGCATTTCTGAAGAGACCCTCAGGTCAGGTCACAGCCTTCTGCTCTCCTCTTCCACTGCTGCAAAACCCTGGGGAGGGGCTCAGAGAGGCCCCTCACCATCCAGACACTATCCAAGGCCAGCAGCTTCCCTGGTCTACTTCCCCCTCTCTGAAGCTTAAGCCACAGGCTGGGAAACAGGATACAGATCCTTCCCGCCCTGGACTGCAGCCAGCTGTGGACAGCTTAGTTTCCAAACGCCAACCACCAACAGGGAGAGAAGGCGGGTTGGCCTTAGGCCTAGAGGAAGGACTCACACAGGTGAAAGGAGAGCTCAGGATTCCCCAGGTGGCTCCGTACAAACTCTCGAAGATCTCCAACTGTGGAGGAGGGAAGAGGATGAGGAGGAGGGTGTACTGGGCCAGATGACTTGCCTTTAGGCCTACCTTCCTGGCCCCTATTGCCTGAGGCCCTAAAGTCTGAGCACCACAGAGCCAGCCTGGGGATGCCAGCCGGGGATGCCAGCCTCAGGCTGCCAAGCAACTCAAGATGTGACTCCTACCCTCCTGGCAGAGGCTAGGCCCCAGGGCTGGGGATTCAACAGTTCCTTTCTTGGTTTCTCAGATGCTCAGCCTGGCTGGACCACGCAGTAGGCTGATACTGGGACCCTCAACCTGCTGCAAGACAGGCTTGTCCACTGCCAGGCCCTTGCCTACCCAAGCCAAGAGAGTCCCTTGCACCTCGTGCCCACTCACAATTCCAACCTCAGCTCTGCCCAGTGTGAGGCCTCCACACCTCACACTGGGCGCACTCTTGGAACAGACCACCAAGACCCACTCTAGACCTGGTGGCTCACTACCTTCCTCACAAGGTGAGTCCTGGGCACCCCTGTCCACACACGCCCAGAAGGAGCAGGCACACAGGCTCTTCCCACTGAGCCTGTGGGAACAGCTAGCCCACAGCTTGTGCTGGGCATGGCCCCACCCAACACTGCAAGTTCAGAGCCATCTAAATATCACAGAGAGTATAGCAGCCTGCAACTGCCCAGTCTCTCTGGAGCCCAAAGGGCAAGTGACCCCAGTCCTGTGGTCTGAAAGGAAGGAATCAAGGGGGGCTCAGTGTCTACCTCCATAGCAGGCAGCTCACCTGTCTCACTGGGACGGAAAAAGCCCTGCAGGATGTATCGATCAGGGAACAGGATCCTCAGTGCCGCCTAGGCCAGGACAAGTAGAGCAGTCAGAAAGGACCACAGCTAAAGCCCCAGTACTGAGAAAGCCTCACCATGCAGCCCCCACTCCAAGAAGTGCTAGCTACCCCCAGCCATCCCCCATGCTCCTCAGGCTGGGGCTAAAGATAGTCAGGCACCCATATATACCCATACATAAGTTCTGAAATCACACCGAAAATCTGCTTCCTGGTAGCCAGGTGTGGTAGTGCACACTGTGATCCCAGCACTCAGAAGGCTGAAGCAGGAGGATAGCAAGACCCTGTTCAGAAAACGGGGCTCATGCCTGTAATCCTAGCTACTTGGGAGGCTGAGATTGACAGGATCGTGGTTCGTGAGAACCCATCTCCAAAATAACCAGAGCAAAATGGACGGGAGGTGTGGCTCAAGTGGTAGAGCTTTGCAATTGTGAAGCCCTGAGTTCAAAACCCACTTCCACCAAAAACAAACAAAAAACCGAATCTGCTCTGTTGAAGATTTTCACACGGGGCTGGGGTGTAATTAAGAAATGGAGTGTTTGTCTGGCACACATGAAGCTGAGTTCAATCCCTAGCACTACAATAAAAGGATTTTGTCATAAAATGTTGGGGGTGTTAACAGATAATCTCAGCTGCATAAGCCTCTCATGCTTGGCCACCGTTGGGAAGCATGTGTCCCTTGGCCAGTGCTGTGAGCTGTAGAGTAACCTGTGGGGCCTATCACAGTCACACGGTTGGGGCACGTCCCTGCACAAAAGCCACAGGAGGCCCCTCTCAGACACATGCCCCCATACCTTTGGGTAGCGCTCCAATTTCTCCTTCATCTGAGCCTCCCTGAAGGCTTTGGTCACTAAAGGGGCTTCTTCCAGACGCTTCCTGTGGGGGAGGGGTTGCAGGTCCCATCAGCACAGACCCTCCAGAAGCCACGGGACTCCTCCTTTACAACCTCTGGGGCTTCTCTCCCCTAGAGGGCAGTAAGAGACAGGAGCCCCCACCTGGGTCCCCCACCCCAAGGTGGGGACCCACGTAAGGGGCAGATATGAGCAGATTGTGGCAGCCCCCTCGCACCTCAAAGAGGGCAGGCAGGACTGACAGCCAGGGCAGCACCTACACGGGACCACCATGGATGGAAGATGTCCAAGGCGGAGGACTTGGGACAGGGCACCCACCGCTCACTCTTGAGCTGGGCCAGGCGTCTCCTCACATCGTCCACAGTCACCTCAAAGAACTCATCAGGCAGCTCCGCTGGCCACGCCTGCAGCAGGTCCTCCAAGTCAGGGTGGCACACCACAGGGTCTCGGTCCATGGACTGGGGACAGAGAGCCTCAGCTGAAGTAGCCATGCACTCTCGATCCCAGCCCACCCCTCTGCAGCCCACTCGGCCAGCAAAGGGCCAGGGTAAGATTTAGGACCTTACAGTAGGAACCCCACCCAGCAATCTGTACAGGGCTGTAACCTCTCCCTTCTTCCCTCCATCTCAGTCACTTCAGCACTCCTGATACAGAGACCACTTTAAGGGGAACCCCAAGATCAGGGAACCAACTTGGAGGGTAGCACCCCAGTTCTAAGCCACGTCATGGGCTCCACAGAGGGGAAGGGCAGCGACAGCCACCAAATTAGAGTACTGGCAAAAACCCCAACCGGATGCCCCTGCTGCCCTCTTGGCTTCAGCCCCATGGCTAGGCCACCTCTCCCTCCCCTGGGGACAGAGGAAGGCACAGCGTCATTCCTAACTGGCATCAACGACAATGAAAATTACAAGGCAGGCCTGCTGCATTTGTGGTGCCCAGGAGGGTGGGTCACCTCCTCAGTGCTGGAGCCACCCGTGGAGCCAGGCCAGGCTGAGGTGCCCAGCTGGCTCACACTGGGTCCCGTCCTTCTGCATACAAAACAGCTGTCAGGGAGGGCAGGAGCCAGCCTTCTGCTACCCCTTAGCACCCTCTCCAGTCCCTTCTCCCGTTCCTGACACCTGGAGACAAGTTGGCTGACTCAGAAACAAGCTTCCCCTCCTTTGCCTCCTGGGGTCTTCCACAGTCCCATCACACTGAGGATGTACTCCCAGGTCCAGGCTGGCCAACCCTGCCCAGCATTCAGGAACTAGTACTCTCAATGCACCCACACTGGGGGAAGCTTTTGTACATTTGTCCCAGGTGTCTCTAGGGCTTCCCCCAGCCACTGCTTGTAGAATCCAGGTCCCTGCAGTCCACTGGGCACATGGCTTTGTCATGTTGCTGTAGCCAGGGAGCCTCTCTGGCAGAGTGGCTAAAGAGCTAGCTGAGGCCTGGGCAGGGGCCCCACAGGTGGCTGACCAAGGCCCCAGGGGACTACCCGATTGAAGCCACAACCACGCAGCCACCGCCGCGGGCAGTCTGAGCCAGAGCTCTTTATAACAAGCTGCCAGGCGCCAGGCTGCTCCCGTGGCCACAGCGCCTGCATTCCAGCAGGGCCATGAGCTCGCCTGGACTCCTGGGGGAGGGTGGGCAGAATGTGGGTGCGCCCCAGGCTGGAAGCCTCCATGTCTACGGGTGGCCGGTGCAGGCTGGGCAGTGTCAGGCAGGGATTCTGATGCAGACTCGGGGCACACTCTCCAGCAGCTGTTCCAGACCCTCCCTTGGAGAAGCAGCTCTGGGGCACACAGATGACCCAAGGTCCATGCTGCATCTCAACAGGCAGAGAATGTACAATGGATGATGTGGCACTGAGCCTGACCATCCAGACAGGGCCTTTTGCCCCCAGGATGTAGCTATAGGGCAAAGGACAGACGCCAGCAAAGCCAAATCCTGAGGAGCAGGATTGCCCTGGGGTCTCCTCAGCACAACTTGGGGGTACCAAGTCACTGGCATGTCCACACTCTGGGCAGTATCAATGACCCCTGAGGTCCAAGCCGACATCCCAGGTTGGGGGACACAGGGAGCAGTTAACCATCTACTTCAGGCTGCCCAAGGGTCGCTAAATTTTAGTCAGAAAATAAAACTGCCAATATCTCTCATTTTGAATTCACCTTAGTCTCTTATCTTCTCAGGAAGCCTGTCTATCAAAAAGGACCAAGAGCCCAGGGTCCCTCCTCAGGGACAGATGATCGGACCCCTCACACTGGGCAAGCAGTCCATTGGGATGCCAAGGGTGGACTGCCCACCAAAGCCTGCTGGGTAAGGCTTAGACTGGATGAGAGGCTGCAGAGGGGCAGACCTCCCAAGTCTCTCAAGAGAACTGACAAGAGTCTGTGGCTGGGCCACTAGGAAACACCACTGTGCCACCAGTGGCTGAGGGGGCCAGGAAATACAAGAGCAGAGAGTTTCCATCCCAGAGCCACTTGGCTTGGTGGTCAGGGGCCCCGCAGGCCAGTCTCAGGCCACAGCGGGGCAGGGGAGTCCAAGAAGGTGGCGTGGCTGCCCCCCAGGCTGCACCCTGTTCCTATTTACCTAGGATGCTTTGCCCAGTGCCTGGCTCTCTCTCATCTGCTTTACACTCCGCTCCCATCCTAGGCAGACGTACAGAGGTGTTTTTGGATGAAGAAAAGAGGTTGAGGGACATTAGGAAGAAAGCACAGTGACAACTGTGAGGGACAGCCAAGCTGACTATGTGGTGCCGGATGGAGGGGGAGGGGCTCTTCGCCCCTCCATTTAGGATGATGCTAAAACCGAGAAGCCTTCCTAGAGCCCTGGGAGGAGCTGGGGCAGGCTGCAAAAGCTGAATTTCCATTTCTCTGAGGTTGGGGAGGCTCCAGGGCAGCTAAAGCACTCCTGATCACTGTGAGCAGAGGCTTAGGCAGGAGGTGTGGCCCCAGGCCATGGGCTCTGGAGGCCATGGGCTCTGGAAGCTCCAAACTCTGAAGACACTGCAGTGGCACCAAAGGATGAGCCTTTTTAAGAGCCATGTGCAGCCTGGGGAAGTGGGGAAGGGGTCTGGGTATACAGATCCAAAGAGCTAGCTGCTGTCCTCCCCCAGGTTATGGCAGCTCCTAGAACGTTCAGAGTTTTATTAGAGGAGGGGCAAGCAGACAAGGGGACCTGGCCAGAGCAGGGTTGTGGGACACATTCTAAGGCTTGTGTGTGCTGGGCTCCTTAGAAAGGAACCTGCAAAACAAGCCCACACAGTAGGGGCATGTCATGACTGCCACATGACAGATGAGGAAACTGAGGCCCAGAGTGCCTGAGGGGCAGCTGGCATGAGGAGGAAGCTCTGAGGGTGGTCTGGTTCATTGCTGCCTATGGGGCTCCTTGCAGAGCCTGTCCAGGAGGCTCTGACTCCTGCCAACCTGGGGTCCCTGGCAACTCCTGGGCCATGGCCTCTAGCGAGGTTCTTACCAAGTGAAAGGTTCTGGAAAGAAGGATAGATGGGCAGAAGAGAGACCAGGAGGGACAGAACAGGACAGAAGCCAGGTGGCTCCCAGCTGTCTTCAAACTCAGTAACATTTGACCGCAACCAGCCCAAAGCCAGGATACAAGAGGTACTTAGGACAGACCCAGAACCTAGAACTGGCTGCTGGTAACAGATAGTCCAAAGGTGGACAGGGTGGGCTGCAGTCACTCCAGGACCAGCTCGGGGTACGAAGTCAGCGACTACCTCCAGTGGGGAGACAAAGGAGGGACGAGGACCCAGTGTGAAAGTATGGTGGGCACAGAAGTGGCCTGCTGAGGTTTCATCTTCTTGATGGTGATTTTCCAGGATGTGGTGACAAATGGAGGAAAAATGTAAAACTATTCGGAATGACCTCAACCTCGGATGTTCCCACTTCTCTGCGAGGGCTTCTGTTCCCTTCTCATTTGCTCTCACTCAGCCCAGGCCATGCTGACAATGGTTTTGGTAAGAGGGAATGTGAAGCGTTTCCTCCTGAGGCTCTGAGCTTAAATGAATCACTCTGAGAGGGACACAGGCCAAACCTCCTGAGTTACTCACAGGGCTCAGCTTCCCTCGGGAGGGAGATACAGGAGCACATGGACACTCATCAAAGGCCCTGGATGGCACAGCAAGAGATAGCTGTGCCAGAGAAAGAGGCCAGGCCTGGACCTGGGCTTGGGTGCTATGCAGAGGGACAATTCTCCCATTCGCATGCCTGGAGCTTGTGCATGCCGTATACGGAGGTACTAAAGGGGACACAGTGAAGCCCACTGCACAGCCCTAGGTATAACATCCACGTGACATTGTCAGTCAAGGCCTGCCCACCAGTGAGCAGCCACAAATCCCAGGGAGAAAGCCAAAATGGAAGGCTACAGGTGGGGACACTCTCCTGGAGAGACCTAGTGTCCAGATTCAGTCAGAAGAAGCACAGGGCTCCCTAGTCCCAGCCCCACCCCAGGCCACACTGGCCTTGGACAATAAGGGCCAAACATCCCTGTCTGTATAGTCAGCACAGTTCTGAGGCTGGACTCAGGATAGTTAGCTCAGAGACTTCACCCCACAGCCACAGACATGGAGGTAACCAGCACAACTCCTGATGCCCAATGTCTTCATGCACCTGACTCCAGGACTTAAGAGAAAACAGATTTTGGTGGCGGGGGTGGGGTGGGGTGTCCAGCATTCAGAGAGTATCACATCCAAGGCCTATCTGCTCCTCCCAACCCTGCAGTCACTCTTAGAAGAAGGATAAACAGCAGGCATCAGTGTGACAAAGCTTGAGGCCCAGGAACGCAAGTTTGCAAGCCCTGACAGCAAAGGGAGAAACATCTTCTGACACCGACATCTGCACTCTTGAGGACGCTAGGAACATCCTTGGGGAGCTTGATACCAACACATTAATGGTGCCCCACAGACAGGATTTCACTTTCCCTTAGTTGTCTTTCTGTACCACGAATATGAATTACTTACACCTCAAAGAAATAAGAAAATATTTTTAAAAAAGAAAAGAAGTGGACTGCTCAACCCTGGGCAACCACAACAAAACCCATGCACTTTGGAGCATGGTCCCAAGCCTTGGCCAGGTGTTTATCATTGTGGATAAAGAACATTACACCTCCCCCAAAACAATGAACTAAATCAATGCAGGCAGTGGTGTGTGTGCCTGGCCGAGTCCTCCTGGGGAAGCAGGGTGCTTGCTCTGCAGGACCATTTTTCACCACATTTGCAGTTACTCACTGAAGCAGAAGCAGCTGCTGGTCACCAGGTTGCAACCACAGCTAAACACTCAGCCAGTCACCTGCAAAGACACTGAGCCATCTGCCAGCGAAGCTCAGAGGACTTTCCAAATTAAGACATGGCCTGTGGCTCTCAGAATAACTGGATTAGGCCTCGGGCTCCGAGGGTTGTCCACAAACACCCATGAAACACAGCCAGGATCACAGCTGGCTAGTGGATAATGGCAGGGGAAGG